TGCTTGTTTACTATTATAATTATTATTTATGTATATACTGTAGGTAAAGAAAAACTTTAATGTCTATTTATTTATTACTCATCTACTTTTTAATTTTATTAATATTTATTTTATATTTTATATTTAACAATTATTAATAAAAGGTATATGTTTTGAAATCTTTATTTTTGTGAATCTTCAAAATTCACTAACCCTCTGTTTTTAAAAAAAGGAAGTTTTTTACAAACCATTTTATAGGATTATTCAATTTGCAATTGCATTACGCTAGTTGATATTTGATAATTGCAATTAGAATTTTGCTAATCGTAAATTGCTATTTAGGAAGAATGAAACAGAAAGCAAAATTGAAATGTTGGCCACAAATAATTTGCCTTAAATAAAAATCTAATTTGTCCAAGAAAATAAAAAAAAGCAATAATGAAATTGTTTAATTGCCTCCAAGAAGATACACAACCCCATACCATAACTCCATCGCCGCCATGCTTTACTGTTGGGATTAAACAGTCAACGTCATACTTTTATTGAGGACTACGCCACACATGATGATGAGAATCACTTTGAAATATTTCAAAACGTGATTCATCACTCCATATTATTAAATCCCTATTTTTTTCTTAGACGACACCATGCTGGACGATCTTTTCTGTTTTTTTTTCACTTATAAGAGGTTTTCTCAATCCAGCACGACCATAATAACCTAATTCATGAAGATATCTACGTACAGTTGAAGAACTTACAGATAAGTTAGTTGTTCCATTAGATCGGTCAGTGACATTGAAGAGAGTGTGTGTTCTATCTTTTTTAACAATTTTTATACGACCTCTTTTATCACGAGCTGATGCTATTATTGGTCTACCTGGTCTTAGTTTTGATTTTATTTGCCCCCATCTCTATATCTTGTTATTGTATCGTGAATTGTTGTTTTTTATGCTCAGTTTTTTTTGAATCCCTCTTTCGCTCAAGCCAGCTTCCCACATATCAATAATCCTTCCGTTCAAAATCAGAAAATTCTGTTGATTTCTGCATATTATTTTGACTAAAAAAAATCTTCGCTTTAAGCTTTAAAATAAAAAAAAGATTATCTAATTTGGTTAGAAATTGATCTTGCAAACAAAAATCAAAAAATTTGACTTTACGCATCAATTTTGTTTTTCAAAAAATTACGGGGTGGTCGGATACTTTTTTAAACCCTTTTCATTGGATTTGAATG